GTCGTCGTCGTCGTCGTACGTCGTACGTACGTACGACACGACACACACACACACACACACACACACACACACACACACACACACACACACACACACACACACACACACACACACACACACACACACACACACACACACACACACACACACACACACGAGACCTTTTTCATGTTTGAGTCACATTAAACTGTTTTGTTTGCCAAATGTTGCTCCACGTCATTACTTCTAGGAACAAATAGCAATAGTACACAGTTAGGATATTTTGTCACACATCTTTTGACATACTTTGTGTCACAATAATGGTTCAACCTTACAAGTGAAATACCTTTTAATCACCAGAGAAAGAGCAACAGAAGATCTTGAGAATGTGTCCTGCAGTGTTTCTGTGCCCGGAGGAGCTTTTCCTGTCTGGTCAAACCTGGGGAAGAGAGTCGACTCATTCCTCGCGTGAGAAACAACATGAACACTCACACACACTCACGCTCACTCTCACACACACTCCAGGATACTTCTCTGATACACTCACTGTGCATTACACAAGTAGCCCAAGTATAATTTGAATTACCACAGACAACTATACATAGTAAAGAACGACCTTTAAAAACACCTTAAGATTCCTACTTTCCAAAATCAAAACACCGTAGAATTTGATGGCAGGTTTCACGGAGAAGTTCACGAGATAATTGTCTATTTCACCACAGAAGGATTAAAGTGAAGCTTGCAGAAGTCTCATTTGAAACTCAAAAACAGCTTGAACAGCATCCTCATTTAAGACTCTCTTTAAGACAGTTCATAAAGAAGATTTAAACGATGCAGGGACTTAAGAGGGTCTTACATTGTTCCCCTGAAGACACAGAGGTCAAATAAAGTCTCTTCTACCAGCAGTACGACCTTGACTCTTGCAAGCAATTCAACTCGAAATGTTTCTGGGAAAAAGTTGGTTAATTGGCGGCTAAATATGGTTCATTTGCACGTCTATTTAAAGCCTCTGTAGTTGTTGCTTTTTCTGACTCATCGATATTCTTAATTCTAAAAACGTCCTCCAGTCTCACGAATGATCGGAGTGGCGCAGTTGGCTGTGCGTTGAGCCGCCAGGCCGTTGTGTCCTTGGGCAAGACACTTCACCCGGATTTGCTCCTGTGGGTATTGTCCACAGTACATGACCGTTACATGTATGATATGTGTGTAATGTGTATTTCCAAAGCGCCTTGATGACTTCGAGGTGTGAAGATGGCTGGAGTGGCGCAGTGGGCTGTGCGTTGACCATAGGATCAAGGGGGCGTTGGGGATCACCAGTTTGAAACCCGCCGCCGCTGCGTCTGTAAAGCCGTTGTTTCCTTGGGCAAGACACTTCACCTGAATTTGCTGGGTATTGTCCACAGTACATGACCGTTACATGTATGATATGTGTGTATTTGTAAAGCGCTTTCAGCATCTGGAACATTTTTATTATTATCAGCTCTAACTTCCTTTTACATCTTTATTAAAGTAAATGGATTTGTGACAGCACACGCTTTCAATAATTCAGGATTTTATTTGGAGTTTCTTCCTCTAAAGTATTCTGTGTTTGCCACTCACTAAACTTTGCCTCTGTGTGACAGATGGAGCGCGAGCCGGTGTGATCTCTCCTCACTGAAGGCAGGAAATGAGCTGCTGACATCACCAGGAGTCACGTGGGAATATTTAAACAAACTAAAGGTCTAGAGGGGAACCAGAAACGGGATCCTACAGGTTTTGTATTACTGGTTTTATGTTTCAGTATTTGTAAGCAACTGCGACTGAAAGAATATTGCTTTATTTTACTTTTTTACGGTTATTTCATTTTTTTGTGTTGTTATTTTTTTAAAGAAGGGGCAGGCAAACTAAGATGTTCTTCTCCCGGCTCCTTTCCACCGTGCGCTATACAAACAATCAACCAGTATAAGTGCACATGTTAAATAACTGCCATGTGTGGATTAAACAAATAAATAAATACATACAATTAAATGTTTCAATCTTTTATTGGACATTTGACTTCTTCTGTCTATATATTTATTTGTATTCCTTTTGATTGTACTATCTTTTTTATTGTATTCTAAAATGGAGGAAGTATTCGATTATGATTCAAGCTTAGGCAAGTTAGATTTTCAAGGCTTTTTTAATGCCACTAAAAATTAAATATGACACCAATATTACTTGCTATTTTCCGCCATTTGTATATGAGAGATGCTTTTGGTTAAATATGATATTTTCCCAAAGTTGTAACCAACTGTATAGTGATTTAAAAATTCAACATCAGCAAATCCCTTTTCCCCTTTCTTACTGTTAAGTTCTTCTAAACATTTGAAAGACTGATTGAAGACATTTTAACACCAATTCCAGCTGTATGTTCAGATAGATTAATTCACAAGACTTTGAAATACCACTAAACATTTAATTCAAGGTCAAGTTTACAAGCAATTTCCCACCATCCAGATCTGTAAGAGGTGTTTGTTTTTCCTTTTTGAAGACGTTACCTTAACTATTTTGAGATGTTTACATGCAAATACCAGTAAAGGCCATATCTTTGGATCAATGTATTCATTCCCGAGGGATTTAAAACATGTTCAAATATCCCCAGGGACCCTGAACAAAGATGTGAATCTCATATCTCATCTTAAAATGGAGGACCTTAGCGGAAATGACATTTGATTGTTATCGAACTTAGATCAAACAGCTCAGAGGTTCAACATCATTAAGACCAGAACATCAATATCATGAGCAGCGTCAAAGAGCTGCCTTCATGATTTACTGAGTCAGACTTTAAAGCAAAAGACTCAAAGTGTGTGGAGAAAGATCTTGTTACTAATCAAAAAACCTCAGATTTGATGAAAAGTAAAAACCACTGCGTTCGTCCCCCGACACCTGGCAGAGGAATGTCCAAAAGATATTGATTTACAAGTTTGATGTAATCTTCCATCTAATCTGGACCCCCTATCATAAAGATTTTATATGCCCTCCATTAAAAAGCAGTGCATTACTGGAAAAGAAAATACATTTTTAAATCGTTTGAACCAGAGGTGGGAAGTAAAAAAGTACATTTACTCAAGTACTGAACTTAAGTACAATTTTCATTTAATGCTACTTTGTACTTTTACTCCACTACATGTATTTAATACCTTTAGTTACTTCACAGATCTGGATGAAGGATGTGAAATATAATCAAGTGTTAAATCAGACTTTAGTTCCACCTGGAGTAAATCCACCAGCTACCCTGCAGTATACAAAGTCATTCAAACTAGCTGCACCTTTACCAGCTTTGAGAACACTCTCATGATCAATCATTATAAAACATATCATATCTATTATTCTGAAATGGACCAATCTGCACAACGACTACTTTTACTGTCGCTACTTTCACTATATTTTGATGATAATACTTTTCTACTTTCACTTGAGGAACATTTTGAATGCAGGAGTTTTACTGTAACAGAGTATTCCTACACTCTGGTACTTCTACTTTTACTCAAGGACAAGATCTGAGTACTTCTACTTTTACTCAAGGACAAGATCTGAGTACTTCTACTTTTACTGAAGTACAAGATCTGAGTACTTCTACTTTTACTNCATGTCTGAAGTTTAAAAGACAATTTATTCGCTGTTTATAAAGAAGGATATTGGTTCTATTATTTTACCATAGCTTAAAGGTAGGGTAGGTAATTCACTTCAGAAACACTTTTTGTTACATTCCATTGAATGTTCTTAATATCCCGATAGCAATGAATAAATCAAATGCTTTGACAATAAATATTCAAATATTTCATCTGTGGAAGCCGTGGCGCTGTAAAAAGCTAGACCAATTATCTGAGCGGGCCCGGGTCAGATAATTGGCTGGCCTACCTGCCTGTCAGCCTTCCATCTCGTGCACAAACTTATCTCGTGCCCTCATTGCTCATTTGCGTGTTCGTGTGTGTTGGAGGAGGGGCTCTGTAAGGAAGTCTGAAGGAAGGGGCAGATTTTTTGTGGCTGCGTACTTTCAAATTCTAGCGCACTCGAGCTGGCTTCTCAATTCTTACCTACCCTACCTTTACATCTAAAATGTAATCCCACTGTAACATTGTTAGACTTTTTTTTGCATTGCCAAATAAGAGAATAGAGCATTGTACCTGATGCTGCTAATTCAGCGACTGGTTTCTTAGTGATATGGGACATGAAGCCTACAATGGAGAAGATGACAAGGCCAGCGAACATGCTGGTGCAGGAGTTGATACCGCACACTATGAGGGAGTCCCTGAAGAGAAAGAAAAACACTTCACAGTTAGGTGAAAGAACATTACTTGATATGAACAATCGGGATAAAGAAAGCGTGTTCCTACTTGTATACATCGTTGTTGTAGGGGTTGTAGCTCCCCAGTGCGATGAGCGAGCCCAGGCCCAGTCCGTAAGAAAAGAAGATTTGAGTTGCTGCATCCAGCCACACCTGTCAGAAACACACACACTTCCAGGTTCACGTCTGTTTGTCTTTGATCAGGTTTGTGCGATTGGATGAAACTGTCTACCTCAGAGCGGAGGAGCTTATTGAAGTCTGGAGTGATGTAGAAGCGGATCCCATCTATGGCTCCAGGCAGAGTGACCCCACGGAAGAACAGGATGATCAGCATGATGTAGGGATAGGTGGCTGAGAAGTACACAACCTGAGAGAAACATAGAGGACATTTATCTTTTTAAGTGTTTAAAGGGCATTGATTTATATTCTAAATCAAAGCCAAAAACCCATATGTGGCTTTAATGAGGACTAAAAAGTCAAGCATACCTGCTTTCAAATTAAAGCCATCCCAGAATCACATGTATTCGTCCATAAGAGGGGACATTTATATTGTTACAGCAAAAGTGAAGAGCCAAAGATAGTAAATATATTAGTCAAGAGGCATGAATAAAACATTTAAGATAAAAACAATTGAAAATTACAATAACAAAAATGCACATGCAGGTGGACAACATACTGTCAAAGTACCAGTTACAGTATATAAAAACAAGTGTAGAATCCTGTATAATTAAAAAACTGATGAGATGCAAAACTGTTCTTCAGTAAGAGTAAAATATTTCCATACCTTCTCTTTGCCTTGAAGACTTTCCCAGAGCCTTACGTGTCTGGCCTGCAGCTCTGTTGCATAATCATTATGTTTAATTGGTGCTGTCCGTCACGATTTGGGCCGGGGGGGAATTCATTTTTCTCACTGCTCTCAGATGCCACACATTCAAATCCAATTATCCACTAGCAGTGAATGTGTAAACGTGTTTCTGCTCTCCTACTGTACATCGCATGGACTTGCTGTAATTTAAAACATCCAACGTTGAGATACATTATTTTTCTAACTCTTTGCTATCCCTTCTAAATCATCCAGGAGTTTGGTATTGAATAATACATTTTGAAACCATGTCTATTTGTAAAATGTTGAGAGAAATACAGAGTTGACAGCAGATAGAAACACTCTATCGGAGAATGCATAAATACTAATACATGTCTCTATTATTTATTTAATATATTTAAGGTTGTTGTTCGAATCTGTGGAGCTAATTAACTCATCCTCTGATTGGAATGTCATTTGTTCTGCATAATGTGGATACATTTAACTGATGATAGTGATAGACGAAGGGGACATGAAGGACTGGCAATCTATCCAATAGTTATTGAGAAAACGAAATGTTTTAATCCTATGATGTACTAGAAGACCACCGATGTACCATGTTTTTGTGTACAACATTTCATGGGAATATGTTAAATAAAGAATAAGATGGACATGTCAGCACAAAATCTGACCTTTCCTGTCCACTCCACTCCTTTCCAGATTGAGAAGTAGACCAGGATCCAGGCCAGCCCAAGGGTGCCCACTAAGGGCCAGCGCAGCTCTCCTGGCTCCTCCAGCCCACTGGACAACTGGTGCATGTTACGCCTGCAGGAACACACATACACACAGATAAGCCAAGGTAGTTTACAGTAATAATTCCACATATTCTTGCACAGGGCATCTTGCACCCACACACTCCTACTGTATGGCATATCTTACTCCCAGAACTCGGTGACAGCACTGGTCAGGTTGGTGGTGTCTGTCAGGCTGTAGTTGCAAAAACATTTTTCTGTGTTCCAAGGGTTATCACAACTTTGCCAAGGCAGCTCCTGCAAACAAAATAAATGTATGAGTATGATAAATAGCTCTTCAGAAAAAGATAAAGTCACTTCTATCATGTGTCCTTGACTCTCCACAGTTTAGTAGCCTAACTTGGTTTTTGTCCTCCAGATAAAAACATTGAACAATATATCTTTTTATCCTTTCTTCTGAAACCTCTGTCAATTTTCTCCACCAGGCTTCTTTGAGCCGGTCACTCACGATACAAAAGTAAAGAATGTAGATAAAAAGATGTGCAATTGTGGTGTTGATAAACAGGACATGAGATGATGACAGCATTGCACGCATTGCTGAAGTGTAGAAACTGAATTTGAATTGTGCCTACCATGCAGTTTCAAAAATACTTTCACCTTGAGCCTGCAACATTTATTTTTTGGCCAATTGGTGGCAGCAGAAACAAGCTTTAAACACTGACATGACACTACTGTACAAGAAGGTACCATAGTCACTTTATCAGAGATTGTCATGGCCTCATGAGAGCCAAGAGAGTGAATCCAAACAGCAAAATTGAAAGAGACAAAACTCTCCCTGTTTTAATTTCAGCACTTAAATCTTTGAATTAACAAAATGGGAAAAATAAACAGAAACTTTGTGGGACTGCAATTGATTGTTGGATTCATCATTGAGTCATCTGACATGTAAATTAATACTACATTAGTCTATAAAAAGTCAGAAAATTATCACAAATTCCCTAACTACTGTATATTACATTTCCTGTTCAAATTGTCACATTTGAGAAGCCTAAACAATCACATCTTTGCATGGAAAATCATCCATTAAACATGTTTTTGAGTAACTTCTTTGCAGTTTAATATGCTGTTTATTAAATCATTATAATCAGTTTAGCAATGCTTAGAATATACACAACTTTAGTTACTCCCAAATGATTATGCAACATACCGAACCAAAGGAGTTGAATAAGTAGTAGAGTGCCCAGGCGATGATGACAATATAGTAGATGTTGAGCCAGAAGGCCAGAACCACTGAAGCTATACCAACACCTGAAGAAGAAGGAGGCACAGACATCAGCATTTTACATTACAATGTTTGAGAAGTCAGCAAAACATGCAAGGAAAAATGTAACAAAATAAGTAAGGGGTAAAAACTCTCTCCTCAATCACTCAGCATGTGAGTTATTATGGTCATCATTTTTATGTTCCTATTCCTAATGTGTACTTGCCCTTGGCTTTGAGTATTAGTTTGCACAGCAGCACACTCACTTTCATTGTAGCGATCTGTGCTGGCGGGAGATAAAATGCGCTTCACTCGAGCTATTTGAGCTTTGAGGCAGTGTTATGATTGCTACTGTACCACCAAGAAATCACTGAAAAATATTGTTAAATGAAAAACGTTGTTCACAAAACGTTTTTTTCTAGCATTGTGTTTATGCTCCTATGTGGTGTCTTTGTTATTTTTTGTGACTGGTGCAATTGCACGGGGAAAGGGCTTTATGTCAATTGAAAATATTGGTGGAGAGTGTCCTTCAAGGTCAATTTTGAACTGTGTGTGTGACCGATATATATATATGTGCTAATAAACAAAGCTTAGTGGTAAGTGCATATTCTTGGTAGCATACAGTTTATTTAGGATGCTCAAAAGCATGTCGGTAACTCAAAATATGCGTACCGTACATTCGAATGATATAACAGTTTTTTTTTATATCTTACCTTTCATCATAGGGACTAGTTTCCAAACTCCCATTCCTCCCACTGAGGTGAACTGTCCAAGAGACGTCTCCAGGAAGAAGAGAGGTATCCCAGCAAACACCAAGGTCAAAAAGTAGGGGATCAGAAAGGCCCCTATAATCATCACAAAGGAGACAAACAAAACATGCTTAGATAATGTAGACAGCAATAAGAAGGATTGATGGTTTCATGTCAGAATTATTTAACTTGGAATGCCTATCATAATATAATTATAAAGGGAAAGCTATTAAATTAGAAACACTTAAGTTTAAGATTACATTTCTTTAAAGATGGGGTAGGTAATTTGAGAAACCGGCTCGAGATACACTTTTTGTTATATTCCATGGAATGCTCTTAACATCCCGATGGCAATGAATATCTTAAGTGCTTTGACAAAAAATCCATACAAAAATTTCATCTGTGGAAGCCGTAGTACTGTAAAAAGCACGACCCGGCTAAAATAACTGGATGGCCTACCTGCCTGTCAGCCTTCCATCTGTGCACAAACTTATCTCGTGCCCTCATTGGTCATGTGCGCATTCGTGTGTGTTGGAGGAGGGGCTCTGTAAGGAAGTGCAGATTTTTTCCGGCTGTGTATTTTCAAATTCTAGCGCACTCGAGCTGGTTTCTCCAAAATGACCTACCCCACCTTTAAGGCTGAGAGGAAATGTAATATCGCTGTAATATTGGGAAAATGGCATCTCTATCACCAATTTGTTAAACCACAGCTCCTGCCGGAAGACGTACTTTATTATTATATTCATATCATTATATGAAAAATGCTGGAAGGCAGTGTTTAAGTGTATAAGGGGCTTATCGTTTGGAAGAGTAGGCAAAAGGGAAGAAGAGACAAGCATTTACTATTATTAGACTAAGCAAATGCATTTTGTTTCACACAATTTACTGTGGTGAGCATTGGTTTGGCAGCATACATGCTCTCAGCTAGCTAGTTTAACAGGCTGTTTGTTTCATTTGGAAGCTCATTGGCATGCTAGTTAGCCTGACATATTGTTAGCCTTACTTGGTGCAGTAGATATGAGTATACTTGTTGCTATTGCTAGCTACAATTAAGTAGCTGACTAACTAATTGTCTGATAGGCTTTTGCAGCAATGATAGCTAGCTTACTATAATGTTAGCTGGTTGTAGTTGGGTAGCATGCCCATTATGGGGCTCATGGTGGGCATAGAGTGGCGAAGTCCCTCCCCTTCCGGGGGAGCTCCATGGGACCTTATTTCGGAAAAAATATGTATTGAAGTCAATGGAGAGAGAAAGATTATCTTTCGATCC